CCGCCTCCCACTCTCCAAACCCTTGATCCCAGCCCAGAGCACCCTCCTGCATCCCAAACCTCTCATCTCCAGCCCCCACCCCAGAGCCTGCACCCCCAGCCAGAGCCTGCACCCCTGATCCATCTCCCACCCTTCAAACCCCTTTGTCACAGCCCACAGCACCCTCCTACACCCCAAACTCCTAATTCCCAGCCCCACCCCAGAGCTTGCACCCCCTCCCACACCCCTACCCCAATTTTGTGAGCATTTGTGGCCCGCCATACAATTTCTATTCCCTGATGTGGCCCTCAGGCCAAAAAGTTTGCCCACCCCTGCATTATAACGTTCCTTATATTTTCCATCTCATTTCTTATGCATCCTAACATTGTTTCCTTTTTTTTGTGTGTGCAGCTACACATTGAGCAGAAATCTTCAGTTTTCACCACAATTCTGCCCCAGGTTCTTTTTCCCCCCTGCCTTGTTATAGCTAATTTAGAACCCACATTAGCACACCCTGCCTTCCTGAGCTAGCGCTGGTGAGAGGTTCACTCCCTACCCCCCAAATATAAAAGGCTGTGTCTACAGCTTTAAAGAGCAGTTTTCAGATTCAAAGATCCCAGAGCACAGAAACTAAGGATACAAAGGGATGAATCAACCCAGCCCCTTCAAGAATGAAAGGCAGCAGCACCACACAACAGAGTGAAGACTTTCAAGGGGCAAATAGGGTACATCTACACACAATAAAAAAACATCAACAAGCCTCAGAGCCTGGGTCAACTGACTCAGGCTCACACCGCAGAGCTGGCATTGCAAAGCTAAAAATACCAATGTAGATGTTCCGGCTCAGGCTGGAGCTTGGTGAGGGAGGATGGTCTCATAGCCTGGACTCTAGCTCAAGCCTGAACATCTACACCGCTAATTTTAACCCCGCAGTACAAGCCTCTATCAACACCAGCTAGCACCGAGTGACTCAGGAATGTCACTTATTGAATCATTTTATAGGGGGTGTCCCATCCAAACACTGACCCAGCCCAACCCTGCTTGCCTTGTGGGATCGGACAGCATTATATCAAACATAAGGTGGTAAATGTCTGCAAGCAGAGTCTGAGAGGTGTCAGTGTTTACAGAAGAGCTGTGAAAAGGGAAGACGACACAGGGCATTAAACACTAAATCAAAAGTCACTCCACATGCCTGTGTGCTTGAAGATATCGGGGAGCTGCAATCAGGACCACAGGGAACTTATTGCATCCAAATGAATCACCTTGCCCATGTGCTCTACTCTCCTTATTAAAAAGGAAAGGAGGACTTGTGGCACCTTAGAGACGAACAAATTTATTTGAGCATAAGCTTTCGTGAGCTACAGCTCACTTCATCGGATGCACATCTATGAGCCTCGTTTTCTACCCCAAGGAATGTAAATAGTAGGATGCATTAATTGTGTTATGCTAGCACCTAGAGGCCCCATTGTGCTAGGCGCTGGACACACACACACAGACTGCTCCCGCCCCATAAGAATTTACAAGCCACGTGCATTTTATCTCCCTCTGAGCCAGTAAGTGGTACGGAAAGGGGGGGGGCGGGGGAAGGGGAATTTCTGATTCCTCTTGACATTGCCCCCCTCCAACACACACACACGCTGACGGTTGGGCCCCCATGGCTGTCCCGCGCGCTGGGAGCCAACAGCCCTGTTCCCCCAACGCTGCACCGTCCGTGGGCTCAGCGGACATCACAGGGCTGCCCTGGCCGCTGGGCCCGGCTCCCGCCTCTCGAGCGCTGCCCGGCGGGTGCTGCCGCGCCCGGCTCTGCCGCCGGGCTGGGACCAGACGCCTCAGGAGCCGGCCCCACCGGAAGCTCTGCCAGGGGGCTCCCGCGACCCCGGCCAGCCCCCTGCAGGGCTGGAGCCGCCGCCCCACCGGCGGTGGCAGGGCCCGGACCGGTCCCACACCCACCCCCCGCACGGCTGCAGGAGCCGGCGCGCCGGGCGGTACCTGAGCGGCTCGGGCTGCTGCGGCCCCGCAGCGAGCGCTCCAGGCCGGGCGGGGGGCTCAGCACGGGCCGGGCAGGGGCCGCGGACCCGAACTGGCTGCAGGCCCCGGGAGAGGGCGGGGAACGGGCCAGGCCGCCCCGCCTCGGCCTCCGGCTGGTACTACCAGCCCGGGAACGAGGCACCGCCGCCATCTTCCCGCCCAGCCATTCAAACCCCGAGCACCGTCCCGCCCCCCATCGCCGGGCGGCTAACGGAACCAGGGCGCGCGGCCAGCCAATCGGAGAGAGCGTGGCCACGGAGCCAGGGGCGGGCTCCCGCTGGGGAAAGCGCAGCTCGTTAGCGCCCCCCTGTGGTCAGGTTGCGCCCGCTAGCGCACGGGAGGTTGGGCCGGCGTCGGCCCGGCCGCAGCGTCCAGGCTAATGACAGCGCTGCCCCGAGAGCAGAGACCCTGATAGCAGCCCCCACTGCGCCTCCCGCTCTGCGGGTCAGGCTGCCAGCGCCCAGCAGCCAGGCGGGGGAGCCGCTCCCCGGTGACTTCAGCCGCACCGTGCCCAGCGCGCATACGGCCTTGGTTCCCCTCCAATGCGGCTGATAGGAGCCGCGGGCTCCCCTTGCTCCCTGCTCACTTTCCCCTCAATAATAGGGAGTAAGTCAACAGCCCCACACAAGGATGCCCAGAGTCCAAGGCTAGAAGGGACCATGGGGGGGTCAAGCATCCAGGGCTTGCATTGCAGAAGCTGCGAGCTGGGTTTTAGGCGTTGGAAATTCCTGACACAATGCAGCTGGCAGTACCAATGCTTTTTATTTTCACACGAAACAAGCATTAGCAAGGACCAGAACACACCACCTCCCACAGCCCCAGCTGGTACCTTACAACTGCAACACTTCAGCACCTAAGCACTCCCCCTCAGGAGGGTAGAAGCAGGCAAAATTTGCAAGGGTGGGCCCTTGCTGTTCGTTGTTCCCTCCGTCACCCTCAGGACCTGAGAAACCTGGGATCACATCTTCCGGACGTTCTGAGCACTCAACTCCCATTGATTTCAGGCTCAGCTGTGCACATTCACCCCTTCTGAAAATCAGGCCACAAGTATCCCTCCTTCTTTTTGTGACCGCTCTGGACAGCACTTTCAACTCTGATGCACTAGCCAGGTATACAGGAAAAGCCCCAGGAACTTTTGAATTTCATTTCCTGTTTGGTCAGTGTGGCGAGCTCAGCAGCACAGGTGACCATGCAGTCCCAGAATCACGAATGAGCTCCAACGTGGACCGAATGGGAGACACTGGATCTGATTGCTGTATAGGGAGAAGAATCTGTACAGGCTGAACTCCAATCAAAAAGAAGAAATGATAATATATATGCCAAAATCGCATTGGGCATGGTGGACAGAGGAAACAACAGGGACACACAGCAGTTAAGGAGTTCAGGGAAGCCTACCAACAAAGGAGGCAAACGGTTGCTCTGGGTCAAAGCCCCATACATGCTGCTTCTATGATCAGCTGCATGCCATTCTAGGGAGGACACTACCAGTATCCCACCACTGTCCATGGACACCTGCAAGGGGGGAGTCTCACACAACAGGGAAGAGGATTTGGTGGAGGAGGAGGACGAGAATGCAGAGCAGGAAAACTGTGAATCCGTTCTCCCCAGCAGCCAGGACCTTTTCATCACCCTGTAGCCAATACCCTCCCAAGGTGGGATCCCGGACTCTGGAGCCAGAGAAGGCAGCTCTGGTGAGTGCACATTTGTAACTGCAGTACAGGGGTTAAAACTAATTGTGTTTCTTTGATTTGCCCAGAAGAATTGGGATGCCTTTACAGCCAGTACAGCTACTGGAAAAGTCTGTTAACATGTCTGGGGGTGGAGCGGAAATCCTCCAGGAACATCTCCATGAAGCTCTCCTGGAGGTACTCTGAAAGCCTCTGAAGAAGGTTTCTGGGGAGGCGTGCCTTATTTTGTCCTCCAGAGTAGGACACTTTACCACGCCAAGCCAGTAGCAAGTTGTCTGGAATCATTGCAGCACAAAACATGGCAGTGAATGGTCCTGGGTTTTGGTCGCATTCAAGCAACATTCGGTCTTTATCTTTCTGTGTTAGCCTCAGGAGAGTGATATCATTCATGGACACCTGATTGAAATAGGGGAATTTTTGTAAGGGAACAGTAAAAGGACCCAATTCATGCTGGGCTGTTTGCACTTGGCTAAAAGGGATCATCCCTGAGAATAGCTACACCGTGGGGGGACTGGTGAAGGGATCATCCCAGAGAATAGCCACATGGTGCTTCACATCCACCGCAAAACCACACCCCCTCCTTTTAAATGGCAAACACAACTGACATTGCTTGCTATGGGAAAGGAGGGCACTGCAGTTTGAAAACATTCCCCTGTTATGAAGGTGGAAGAAGCCAACCCCACCTACCCTTTGGCTTACCATGGCTGCCTGGAAACTGCATTCTGTTGCCCAGCCGCCTGTGATATGTCACCATACCCATAGGCACTCAATAAAAAAGTCAAAATGCAACCTTGTACCTAAAGCACAGGGCCTGTCTGCTATGAATTGCTTGAATCACTGTGAAAGAGTCTCCTTTTTGGGCTCAGAAATGTATCATCTTAAATTTTACTTTCCCTTTTTATTCCGCATGCAGGTGCAAATGTTTCTATGCTCCCCCTATTATCTCCGTCCCTGAGGTTATCGCACATGAGGTAGTGAAAAAAAACACACTCATGACATGTTTTCCGAGCTCATGTAGGCTTCCCTCACTGATTGCCTCCATGCATTCAGCTGGGCCCTTTCAGGGGGCACAGAGGCCAGGAAAGCATTCAGTGAGCATGATCAGAAGACACAGGAGGTGATGCTAAGGGGGGAAGCAAACTGACATGATCAGGCATCCGGTGGAGCTGCAGGAAAGGCAACAAGAGCACAGACCGCCACCGCATCCACTGTATAACCGACTGCCCTCCTCCCCAAGTTCCATATCCTCCTCACCCAGACGCCCAGGAACACCCAGCCACTCCAGGTCAGAAACACACAACAATGCAGTGTTGAGAAGCTTGTATTGTTACTTTATCCCTTCTGTGGATGAATAGGCAACTATAGTCTCCGTGTCTGCCAACATGGCACCTTTTAGAAGCACTCAGTTAACAAAATGTGGCATCTAAATAGAGTCCTTTCACTTCCACATGTTATGACTGGAAGAGCCCTTCTTTTGTTTTTTCCCCTCTTTCATTCTTTTCCCTGCTCCATCTTACCTTACCCTATGCCTCTTAATGTGTTCTCCCTGATTCATCTAGTCAGGTTTCCTTACAGAATCTACGACAAAGACAAGAAAGAGCAGGTCCTCCATTAAGATTTTCATGGAGATGCATGTTGATGTTCCTGGTACATTCAGCAGCAGTTAAAAGGTTAACCTATCCATCTGCAAGGAGAGTAACCCTCTCCAAGTATCTACCTTCTGATGCATTTTGACTTTCAAAGCATGGAGTCTAAGCATGTTAAAACATTCCATGAATAGCTTCTCATTTTTCTACCTGTACACTTCCTGCTAATTCCAGAGATTTATTTCCACCACTAAAAAATGTGTTTAGCATCCCTGTTAACATGTTGTTTCTTATTCTTTTAAGTAGAAGAGTTGGGTTTTTTTAAAGCAGCTCCAAAAATAAGTGTATATCAACAAAGGACAGAACAGAAACCATAATAATGTAAGATACAATAAACCATATTAATCACAGTCCAATTAACCCTCAGAACAAAAAGTTTGCTATATGTAAGTTTTGATATATTACACAAGTGGACAGGTCATACATAACCTCTAGGCTCAATTCAGCAACAGTGTAGGTTATGTATTCTGCGGAAAGGGGATGGAAAATGGAGGTACACTTGTAAAGCAGCATGATTCATTGGTTTGGATTCAGCAAATGTACAGAATGAGTAACTTACATGTCAAGGTCAACTTGCAGCCCTCCCAACAAATGCTCTCTTCAAAGGGTAAGGGGATACTGAGTAACACAGGGAACATGGGCGCCAAACCCTGCAAATTCCAAGTGTCTGCCTCTCCTCTGTAGGACCTCTTTCCTATCTAGCAGCATAGCTTCCCTCAGGGAGCCACTGGCCACCTCAACCATAGGTGTGCTACACTTTGCCCTCTGAGGAACAGGAGTCAGCACTGTTCCTATGATAAAGATCAACTCTTGCTCGTTGTGTGACTGTTTCTGCTGGTTTTCAAAGGAAGCTACCACACAGAACAGCTGCTGCCAAATCTCTTTTTCCTAGAGCTAACATTGCCCTCTGATTTTTAATTACATTTCCAAAAGACCATACTTTCTAAATTTACACTAAAAAACCACGTGTCAGAAGCCCATGGAACAGCCAAACATGATACAGAGGGCTTTGGTTTCTGTGGGACTTCGATATTTTGTATTAAGTTCCATATATACTCGATCATAAGCCAGTTCGTTTATAAGACGATCCCCCCCCAAGATGGATAAGTAAAAATGGAGAATTTTTATGACCCATTCATAAGCCGACCCTATAATTCCCACTTTATCTGGGGAGGATGTCTCTGGCCTGGCTGGAGCAGCTCCAGCAGGCTGGGCAGTGCGGCCACATATTCCAGCAAGCTGGGCCAGGAGGCTGGAGCCTGCTCTCGTGGGTGGGGCCTAGCAGCACAGCGGCAGCTTGCCAGCCCCGAAGCAGCTGGCTGTGGGGAGAGCAGGAGAGCAGCGTGGCCAGAAGCAGAGAGACTCTGGCCGCACCTCTTCCCTTCTGGATCTGCAGGCTATGCTGCCTCTCCTTGCGCTCTCTGTTGGGGGGAGGGGCTGTGTCCCACCTCTCCCTCTCTATAGCTGTTCATAAGCCGACCCCCCTTCTCTGATGCTTCCCTTTTTTACTAAAAAAAAATTCAGCTTATGAACGAGTATATACAGTAGTTGAGGTGTCCAAAAGAACCTCTCAAAACTCTTAAGTTTGATTAAGCTAGTTAGCATAAAGTATCACTGCTTCAAGATGTTCTCCCTTATCAGAGAAGCAGCTCTGTGCAAAATTAGCAGGCTACAAACCATAGTTTGAGAACTACTGGGCTGTGCAATCAATAACCCACTTTAAGGGCTTAATATATATATAATTTTCCTAATCAAATATAAATCACTGCCTATTATCTGTGATAAAATAGTTAACTAGCATGACAGCTGTTGGTTAATGAAACATGAAAACAAATCTAAAATTCTCTCAAGTATTTTTCTTCACTGCTATACAGAAAAAACATTGATCTTTCTAACTCAAAATTGAATCCATTAAGTCAAAGGCAAATATTTTAGAGTCTCTTCCATACAAACATGTTCTCTTCATTTTTTACTTTTATGGTAAACAAACATAGTATTAATTTTACTTGCTGTATTTGAAACTTCCAGGGAATGACATTTTCAGGCAATTTGCCAATATTTAGTGCATTCTTTTAAAAGATAATGGTCCAGGTCAGATCACCTCACCTCAGTTGGGTTAAAATCTGATGCAAATAAAATAATTTAATAAAAACAAAGTACCAGAACGATTTTATGATATCAAATCCAATACTGTGTAACTGTTTTCCAGAGGTTCAAAGATTAAGGATAGGACTTATATAGCATATCTTGCTTCTCTGGCCTGCTGTGGTGCAAAAGACAGATGTACAGTTTCTACTGAATTTCTTGGAACCCTTGATGAACACCACATATTCAGAGTGATCCCTACAGCATGAGCAGGTGCATTTGCTGCAATACATCAATAATGTATCTATCTTTCCCCTATTGTGGATTTCACTTTTATATCTATGGCCCATACTACTATAATGCATACTTAATGTTACAACTCATTTTCGGTCACTGGGCCACTTCAAAACCCTCCACTAACAGATCTTGCCATTTCCAGAGAGAGCATCAGTCCTCTCTACACCCTGTGGAGTACTTCTGTATGGACAAGCTCAGCCCTTGGGAGGCTGGATGGGGATAGCAATGCCCATAATTACTCCACCAACCCTGTGTGAAAACCACCAGAAGATTAATGCAGCCTGATGCAGAATCCCTACTGTGTGCCCTTGAGGGAAATAGATTCCAGGTACAACAGTGGCCAAGGAAACCCTGGTAGTACAGCTCCAACCAGAGTGGGGACAGGGCCCTGAAGCATGTGAAAAGCATAAGACCTCAGCAGCTGGTACCCCAAATTCTGTGAGTTCTACAGCTGAATTCTGTCCCCATCCCACCTTCACTGTTCATCAAATTAACGTGTTTTCCTATCCATCCTTATAGCCCCTGTGATGAGTTTTTCTGGTCCATGGAGATGAGAGACGTACTCTAATTCTCTCTCTCTTCCCCCCCCCCCCCCACCCTCCTTCAATACTTCAAAGAAATTTAAGTTTAAAGTGAAGCCCAATCTTTCAGGAATAATTGCTTGAAACCACCACACTGCATTTCATCTCCTGTATCAGGGTAGGAAATGCAATGGGGAGACATGGTCTAAAACAATGTGTGCCACGGTTAGATTTTTCTTAATTGGTATGTTGCAGGAGGAGCACAAATCATTTTTCATTTTTAAACTTTTAAAAAGCAGAAAATCCATGCAAATCCTGATGTGTGTTAAATAGTGACATCTAATATAGCCCATTAACAAAAACTCAAGATTCATGATCTCTAAAGCTACCCAGCTCTCCCATATTATTCTGTGCTTTTATGAGCTGTCATTTAAAGAACTGCCACCTGTTATCAAGATGTTGCTCAGCTGAGGCCAAATGCATAGGGAAGGGAGATGGATGAGGGTGGCAAGTGCCATCCCTTCAAGGAAGATTCCTGGCTGCAAAAGACAATACAGAGTTGCAGGCTAATCTGTGAGAGTAAGGGCTGAAAAAACCTGTATATTCCTGCAATAATAATGATGTAAAAATGTAATATTGTAGTGAAGATTTCTATTCTGCAAACAGAACTCCATTTCCACCAAGTCAGATCAGAAATCAGCTGTAATGTTCCCATATGAAACCAACCACAGAGCTACTGCTAAAATAGGTTTCCGTTTATCATGCAATTTTATAGCTAGAACACTGAAGTGCTATTTCAGCACTGTTTCTCCTACCCCTCATCATTATATACTTAGGATTCCTTGTACTTAAAAAAGGCTGTTTAAAAATAAAGTTGATTTTCATCTCAAATTTTGGTCATTTCATCTTAAAAAAACCTTGCTAGCACAAAATTTCTCTTAGTCTATTAAAAAGATTACAAAAAAATCCAGAACTGACTTATTTCTATCATATTCTGAATAAGGGCTAACTAGCAACCAGTCGAAAAATTTGATTTCGTAAGTAGGTGCACAGTTGGTTCATTAAATCTCTGTTCTGTCCTTCAACCCAGTGCATCTCTGCTAATGCATCATCCCCTTCTTTCTTCACATTTATTAAACACTTAAAAAGAAAGTGTCCACTAGTTACTTTGGGACTTTGTCCTTTTTCCATTGTTACACTGCCAGCATCCTCTGACGCATCAGGCTCCTCCTTTGCATCACTGGAGTCTTCACCAACTAAGGTCTCTGCTTGCTTTGCTTCTATGTCCTCCTCTTCCATGCGTTCCTCATTGTTTTCTTCTTTTGCAGGGGAATCTTCCCTTTGCCTGTCACTCTTGGCTGAGCTGACATCCTCATCAAGCATCACTGATCCCATTTCGAAGTTTTCTGTCTTGTTTTGTTCACACTCTGGGTTGTTTTTTGAGTCTTTCTGGCTGTTCTTCTCTTCCACTGCTTGCAGAATATCTTCAGAAGCTCGAGGAAGTTCTCGTAGCTGCCTTACTCTTTCTCGTTTCTTTCTTCTTAAATGAACCCAAGAGTTTTCAATTGCTGTTAGAAACAGACTAACTTCATCTTCTCCACAGGGAACATACTTATGCTGAACCTATTGTAGAGAACAGCAGAACTTCATAATCACTACTTTAAAAAAAAGTTTACATTTATGACCGAAAGCAGGATGTTGTTCTAACAGGTAACGCTTAATACTGTACCTTCAGATCAGTCAGTATTTTTTCTATCCACTTTGTAACCACCGCTATGCCTTCAACAGCATCCCAGCCCATAGCTGAAGCCTTGATGGATAACTCTTTGATTGTGGATGCCAACACTATAAATGTAATTGGCTTCCGGGGCTTTTCTAACTTCCTTCTTTTAGAGGGAGGAGACTGAAAAAAGCAACAAAACAAACGAATTACAAACAAATACTGGAAGTGTGCAATACTAATGGGACGGTTTTAACACCCAGGACACAGAGTCTGCATCATACCAATGTCAGTATAGTAGAACCCTGTTTATCCGATCCTCCCTTAACTGACTCTCCACATTTACTGAACAACCAGGACTCCAGGCCAGAAGGTGGTGATCTCTCCTGTGGCCGCTAGATGGCACTGCAGCATGGCATTTTCCAATTCCCATGTTTACCCAGAGTTTTGATTATCTGAGCTGGCTCGCATGCCAATTAAACTGGCTAGAACGGGGTTCTACTGTAATACCATGTACATTCACTGTCATGGCCTGTGTATCACTTAAGCCCTGAAGAGGTTTTAAGTAGGATTTAAGAGGTGCATATGCTTTGTACTGGCCTGCTGCACAGGGGTGAATTTTACCTTAAGTTATTAGAAAGAATCAATTATGCTTTCCTTCAGCTGCCATCTCTCAGATTATTAAAAGTATTTCTCTTGGTACTACATATGAAGCCACTAACATTTTGATTCTGATCACACACAGGTGTATCACTGCATCTCTCTTGTAAAATCAGTTACCACAAACACCTGTGCAAAAACTACATACATATGAATCTAAAAAGGAGAAGCAGGCTTTGATTTAATATAGATACATAAGTGAGTGTAAAGACCTGGATATTTTCAAATGTTCATAAGGGGGTAACTTTTTGCAGCTAAATTCTTATTTAAGCACTGAAGTGGAAGTGGCCTGATTTTCAGGGAACCTGCACCTCACATTAAGCCCATCAGAAGGCCTTGCTGACTTGAGTTCTCTATAGAGAGGCTTGGCAGAATTAATTTTTTTTTAATATAAATTTGACAGATATTGATGTTTATTTTTAAGCTTTTTTAATTTTTATCCATTTAAATTTTCAGAGGCATGGAAAATTATGGTGGGGTCAGACAATTATTAATGACAGACATTGAGACTCAAAATGTTAAAGCTTTATGACCATAGGAAAAAACAAACTTCACCAATGTGAGACTGACAATATCCTGGAATACTCTGAACAAGCTTTATGGAAACAAGTTAAACCCTACTGAATTAGGGTTAATGCCTTTGGTGTAAATTGTGTGCATTAATGTGACATTGTATGTATTTCCATGGGACGGGTAAATAGAAAAACAGTAGGGAGTAACTAGGCAAATTCACTCAGGTTGTAACATCCCCAGAGAAGCTACCTCCCTGGAAAGGTGCACATATACTACAGTTGAACACCAGAGTTACGAACTGACCAGTCAACCACGCACCTCATTTGGAATCGGAAGTACACAATAGGCGGCGGCAGACACAAAAAAAAAACAAATCCAGTACAGTACTGTGTTAAACGTAAACTACTAAAACAACGAAGGGGAAGCAGCATTTTCTTTCCATAGTAAAGTTTCAAAGCTGTATTAAGTCAATGTTCAGTTGTAAACTTTGACAGAACCACCATAATGCTTTGTTCAGAGTTACAAACAACTTCCATTCCCGAGGTGTTCGTAACTGAGGTTCCACTGTAGCTCAAACTGGATTCTTCAAGTCCAACAGACAAAGAAAGGGTTTCTGGATAACTAGCTTGGTTTTAAATTGGCTCATGACCTTCTTCCTGATCCAGCAAATGGACAGGAACCCTGGTCCACAGAGAGCCGCAATCCTTAGGGTACGGTTGGAAGGACTGGGCCTCCTGAGGCCTCATAATACTGGCTTGTGATGAACTGGTAACCACAAGATATCCCCCTTGGGTAGGGGATTTGAAGGACTGCTCTGGTCAGAATCCATGTTAGGGTTGGGGTTAACTCTGGCAAGCTTATTAGCATGTGCATGGGTCCTTTTCTTGTTTTTAAATGTGTTTTCTCTGTAATGCTTTTTACCTTATCAAATAAGCTTGCATTGGAAGTGCTTTTTACTGTAGCAATTGCACCTGTTAACTGTCTCTAAAGAGAATGGAAGCAGGATCTTGTCAGGCAACCAGTCTCTGCTGCAGATAACAGCGTAGGCAGGGAACTGTGAAGTCTGGAAATGCCCCAGTTAGAAAGGAGAGGGATGCGTTTCTTCAACCAGGAAAGGCAACACCTGGGGAGCTGAAGGCCTGAGTGTGGGTGCCCTTGCTGGACCTGAACTGTAACAAATGTGTCAAAATATATCAAATAAATATCCTTAAACCAAACTAATATTTTTTCAAGCAGTATTTTTCTTACTTTGCCTATCCGTAAATTTTGATCATCAAAATATTTTTTCATCAGTTTGTGCGTATACAGTGGAATCACAGAATATCAGGGTTGGAAGAGACCTCAGGAGATCATCTAGTCCAACCCCCTGCTCAAAGCAGGAGCAATCCCCATTTTTTGCCCCAGATCAACTTAACAGCCTCCTCAAGGATTGAACTCACAACCCTGGGTTTAGCAGGCCAATGCTCAAGTTTATCGACATTTACTGATAAAAATCTAATTCTGCCAAGCCTATCTAAAGGTATGTTTTGGGTTTGATACAAACATCAAGCGACATGTAACGGATGGATGGGGGGAGGGGCGCCAGAACAAGGTTCTAACTGGCTATGTTGCAGGTTTGTACTGCCATACAGGAAATGCAGCTCAGACAACAATTGTACCCTATACTCTAGGTTGAAGGGGGATAGTTGTGTTGTAGAGCAGATACTTGTTAAACCCACCCCCAAATAAAGCGTAGATGACCATGAAAAACAAACCAAAAACAAAGGCACTTACAGGCACTCTGACATCATCATAGAAACTCCACGCCAGAGCCCACCTCATGGTACGGCCTTGACAGAATTCAGTGTGGGTAACTTTAGGAACCTATGTGAAGGAGAAACTTGGTCAGGCAGTCATTAACTTTCATCTCTTGTTAATGAAGTGTCATTCGTTTTACACACGTATTAGTCTAACTTCAGATATAGGTTATAAAATTAAGGTTTTGAACCAACAACGTCGAAGTGAAATTTATCACAAAGAGCTTTACCAAGAGTAAAATAGGCAATTTAAATCCACCTTTAATCCCTAAGAATTCAACGCACTTTAGGCACCATGGTATAACAGAATGCGAACAGGGTAGACTAGGGAGAGCCCAAATTCTAATTCCAGCTCTGCCTCTGACATACTGTATTGTCTTGGGCAAACCACTTTCCTCCACTTCTGCAAAATGGGAATACTGCAATATCCCTATGAGGTAGCTATGGTAGCACCCTCTTCCACCCTCTACCACACAAGGTAGGAGACCCCACCATCTCCTCGCCTGTAGGTGGCCTATAAAAGAACTCATGCTTCCCTGGTGAAGGAGAAGGAATATCCCATGTACACACATGTACCCTTGCATTTAAGGAGATCAGCAAGACAAACCCTCCAGTACTTGTTTCATGCCATGGGGCTGAGTGCTTGGGAACAGAAAGGCAGTAACTCTAGCCTGAGAGACTCAGTGAAATAACTGGGAGTAGAAAGCATGAGCATGAGCTCATGGAGGTGAATGATAAGGGTTAGTTTTCTACCAAAAGCATTAAAAACAGGGTGGAATCTGATTCAAGCTTGTGTATGAACATAGTGAATTTAAACATATTTTTAATTGTTTGTATTTAATTCTAAGTAAGAGAAAGGAAAAAACCCTAGTATTGCATACTCTTCTTCTCTCAGATAATAAGCTCTTCACAGAAGTGGTCTTATTTTTATTTGCATTCCTGTAACACCTAGAGGCCAACCAGGCCAGGCCAGAGATGCAAGTGACAGTGTCTTTCCCAAAAAGTTTACAAAGCTAAAGAGACAAAACAAACAGGTGGATGAGACGCAAGGGTGGAATGAAGGAAACAAGATGAGAGAGAATATGCACAATTTTTAACCAATGAAAAGCAGTAATCACAGTTTGTCACCTGTCCAGCCACTATCTGGTTGTACTTTCCTGCAAACATTACAGAAGAGGTGAGTTCTGAATAGATGAATTCTGATGGATTCTGACTGAGCACATTTCCCACTTCCCACATAAGCACTTATCAGAGTAGGGTTTTAGGGGCTGGCATCACCGATGGAGATAAGGTGGGTATGAACCTTACTGTAAGATAAAAGGTCAGATAGGGCAGAATTAGGTTGTGAAGGGCTTTGAGAAGTTTGAGTCTGATACAGTGGAATAGGGGAAGCCACAGGAGGAACTAAACACAGGGTGACAGTGCGTTGAGCCAACATGATCTCAGCAGCAGCAATCTGAACAGATTTCAGGGAAGTGAGGCTGCAGGCGTCAAGGCTAGAAGAAAAGGAAATTGCAGTAGTCAAGACATGAGAAGATTACAGCGTGGACAAGAGTTTTGCCAGGGTGGGCACAAAGGAGGGGTCAGATTTGGAGATGTGCAGGAAAACACATGATTTAGACCAGGGTTCTTAAACAGGGGGTCACGAGCTGTCAGCTTCCACCCCAAATATTACTTCACCTCCAGCATTTATAATAAGGTTAAATATATATTTAAAAAAAAGTGTTTTTAAATTTATAAGGGGGGGGCGCGTCACACTCAGAGGCTTGCTGTATAAAAGGGGTCACCAATTCAAAAATTTGAGAACCGCTGGTTTAGACACAGCCTGGAAGTATAAGCCAAAGAGGGCTGAGTCAAAGACGAAGCCAAGATTACAAGCTTGAGCCACAGAGAGGATGGTCACGGAGTCCCTAGTGATACAGAAGCAGAGAGAGGGAGGGTTTGAGGGAAGACCAGGAATTCCATTTTGGTGATGTTAAGCTTCTTGTGGATGTCCAGCCATCAACTGGAGATGTAGAAAGATGGGCTGAGATTTCAATATGGAAAGAGCGCGAGAGAGATTTGCCAATCATAGAATATCAGGGTTGGAAGGGACCTAAGGAGGTCATCTAGTCCAACCCCCTGCTCAAAGCAGGACCAATCCCCAATTTTTGCCCCCGATCTCTAAATGGCCCCCTCAAGGATTGAACTCACAACCCTGGGTTTAGCAGGTCAATGCTCAAACCACTGAGCTATCCCTCCCCCCCAATATGGCATTCAAAATCGTATTTGTGCAAGAGATAATCCAGAGAAAAAGGTAAAAAACAAAGAGGGAGCCAAGAACAGAGCCCAGAGAGGGCAGGATTGTGAGAAGAGTAAGATCAGCAGTGTCAGAGGCAGCCAACAGGTCAAGGATGAGACAATGGAGTCTGAAATCTGACCAGGAAGAGGTCATTAGAAACTTTGGTGAGAGCCATTTCTGTGAAGCATAGAGGGTGGAAGGCATGAAATTAGACTGAAATAATGGAGTTATAGGAAAGGAATTAGATGTGACTATCTGAAGCACCTCACTTCTTCAGATCCCTTATTTTAGTGCACTGCATCTTTGCAGTCAGAAGCAGCCTTAACAGCCCATGTATTTTTAGAAAATAATTTCCAAGTCTTTTAAAGGATTTATTAGCATGTAGTACAAGTCATGTCTTCCATGATTTTCCATTCATCTCCCCTCAACACACCCATTTAAATAAATTCTACCCTGGGAGAAGATGCCACTGTGACAAGCCACCACCCCCTGCCACACACATTCTTCAGAGATATTGTCATGATATGATTATGGCATAACTAAGATGTATTTTATACAATTAGGTCGTGGGAGGTATCATTGAAAAAGTTATGATTTACTGAATATTATCCTATTTGTATGCTGTATTTTTTTTTAATCTAAAGTTAGGAATATTGACTATACATCAGTACCACAGAAGTGTTTGCACCTGGGGAACACCCACCAGACAAAATGCAATCAGTCTGGCTGGCTAGCTGGGGACAAGTCAATAGACCATTAGGCAGAACAACAGGTCTTTGAATATTCTAATCTCCCACCTTCCCGAGGAGCTTTCCAGGGATGCTACAAACAGCCTCTGACCCATGACTGCTTCAACACAGCAGGATCATGTGATCAAGTCACCTGGTACTGGACTCTGATAGAATACCAGTATTTTTCCAAAAGGGGAGGGGGGGGGAGAGAGAAGAGAACCACCCTGGAAAACAAAGCGCTCCTGACATATGTAAAACCTATTTAAGGCAGGGGAGGGAAATAATCAAGGTCATTCTTCACTGACTCTACCCCAGGATGACAACTGGAAACGTCTAAGAAATAAAAAAGGGGTGGGTGGGGAGAAGAGGACTGAACCCAGACTGGGAAGGTGTCTGGCCTGTGAAAGAAATACCTGGAATTTTAAGCTGTAAGCAAGAGCAGTTTGCCTTCAAGAATCTGTGCAATCTGCCTAAATTAACATTTAGGGTGAGAAATTACTATTTGTAAGCGGCTTCTTTAGTATCTTAAGCTTAGTTTGAGTGTTTGTTTCATTTGATAGGTAACCTGCTTTGATCTGTTTGCCAACCCTTATAATCACTTAAAAATTTATCTTTTGTAGTTCATAAACTTGTTCTTGTTTTCTCTAAAACCAGTTTGTGGAATTCATAACTGGGGGGCAAAAAGCTGTGCATATCTTCCTCCACATTGAGGGAGCAAATTTTATGAGCTTATGCTGTGGAGTTCTCAGTGCAGTGCAAGACGATACAATTTTGGGTTTACACTTCAGAGGGGGTGTGCACTTGAGTGCTGGCCAGTTCCTTAGCTGAGCTTTCCCAAGAAGAACTGATCTCAGTGTCTTTCAGCAGCTGTATGTGCCCCTACCTGTGTGTGTGCTGGAGGCTTGAGGGTTTGGCTCAGCAGGACAGTGTGAGGGAGCCCAAGCTGGCGGAAAAGGCGAGCTCAGTGATACTCAAGTTCCAAGTGGCACCCCAGGGGGAACCCATCACAGCCGCCAGAAACATTTTTTGCAGGTGTGAATTCTGCTATCTACTCCTTGCTAGTGGCACTTAATGCTATACATCTCACTGTTTGGGAAAATTCTATTGCTGCCTACCTCCCGCATGCCTGTGTGTTAAGTGGTGGTGACTTCCACTGAATATATACAGCATTGCTCAGACTCTCCTGCTTCTAAGGGAACCCACTGAGACATGGCTGTGAGTGGAAGGAGTAAGACACCTGATCCTTAAAACACAAGGAGCCAAATCGATGATTTTTAGACTTATCAGAACACTAAGTAACTTACCAATGAGGACTCTTGATATCTGTACTGTCCTCATATTGAATTAATTAGAGCCAATACATTTGTAGCATAAAAATTAACTGAGGAAGAACAGCTCTTGCAAATTCTCAAAAATTCAGTGCTGAAAACATATGAGAAGGCACTACATTCTCTTAAAAGAGGTTTAATCCCTGCTTTAAGTTCAAACTCTGCTTAACCTCAACTTTGGAGTTGCTACCAGCGCCTCCATAATACAAAAGCACCTTCCAAAGAACTACAGTTCAGTAACTTGTAAGAAACCTCTTTTTAGGGGACAAAAACAGGCAACACAAATGCACAGTATCAGGAAGCAGTATATGCAACCCTAGTGTATTTGGAGACAAACTTACCCCCTGGATTCGAAGTTCCTCTTTTAATGGAGCTAAACTGCATTTCTTTCCCAGCATGCAGCTGTACCACCTGTGGACAACATTTTACATTAAGGGGTTTTAGAAACAGTTCAACTGAAAATGGCAACTAACTGCAAAGGGTTCACATCAGAGGTCTTCAAGCATCACAAGAGGGGAAATGCTCCCCAGTTAAAAATAGTGGCAAATCCACAATAGCAATATGATTTGAGCAAGTGGATAAACTAGGAGACCAAGGAAATAAATCCTTGGAAAAGAAATCCACCTGGATTTTTTCAATATTAGATTTTGGGTAAAATTTTTTAAAAGTTTCTCAGCAACTCTGTCCCATTTTCAAAAATGGGAAAGTGCTTTAGAAAATAGTACCCTTTACAATAATTTGTTTCAAACTTTCAATTTTAACTTTCCAAGGAATAGAAAGAGAAGATGACAGAAGCAAAACAACAGCTTTTGCCTGAAAAAAAATAGACCCACTCCCTGGTATCTCTGCCTATTAGAAATCTAGAAGTATTAATTCTCCCAGTTTCCAGCTCTCTAAATCCACATCTCACCAGTGGGCAAACAGAAGGATGAGAGCAGAGAGATTACCCTGCTTCTGGGAGCTCACCATCTCCTTTGGATACAGGTCTCACAGACTCTTCCAAAGGCAAAAGTCTGTGTTCTTCAGCAGGATTTCCCAAAATTCCTTTATGGGCACTTGCACAAAATAATTTAGGAGAGGTGTTGGGCCCCAATGAAATAATTTGTAAGTACATTGTTAAAACTTTGTACCCAGAGAGTTTTCAATTACTGAAATGCAATACTCTACATATTTTAAGCAGCTTCTTTGAGAGATAAAAATGCTTTAAAGTGATCATGGGTAGAAGTATGAGAGATAAATAAAACCAGTTTTCATGCAGCATTGTGAAGAATCTAATAAAACCAGAATTCAATTGAAAATAAGATTAATAGATTTTTTTTTAATAAGGCCAAAAGGCACCACTAGTAGTCTGACCACCTGCATAATAGGCCAGAGAATTTTGCTAATTAATTCTTGCATTAAGGCCAGTAACTTCTGGCAGAACTACAGCACATCTGCAAATCAAGATCGGATAGCTTTCCCCAAGACTTCAAAATGCAGAAGTATCTACCACAACCCACTGGTTCATTACCCTGTTGGGAAACATGAAGTGGAAAAAACATGCACTTTTTAAGATTCAGCTTCCAGTCACTGAATCATGTTATGCCTTTGTCTCCAAGAGCTGTAATATTCTAGTTGAAAAAAGAAGCTATCAAGTTCTTCCTTTGGCCAGCAAGTCTCAGTCTCCTATGTAAAGGGCAGCTCAACATTCTGGCCATTTGGTTGAGTTGTCTCTAGCAAAGTAAGACCAGAACATAGCATTAAGTCAATTTTTCTGCCATGAGACTCCCCAGAACAACTTATTATATTAAATAGCAGCAACAAAGTTGGATGACTTTTCCAGATTTTGGAAACACAAGGCATTAAAGATAGATGCCTTCATCTAATTAGGCCAACAGAGGTACACCTGTCCTCCAACTCCAGCTCTTTTGTACCAGAAGCCACCAGACAATGGCTGTTAAATCTTTGTTTTCCCTTACTAAAGTGATCTTTCTTGTGGCATTCATCTCTACAAGAGGGATCAGTGAGTATAATGCCTTGTCAATCAATGAATCATCTGTTTCCTGACAACATGGTACTACAACCATCTCAGCTAAAGCACGACACCTTCATATCACCTGTCCCAAGCGGCTCTCATTCTAAAAAGGAAAGTTGGCACTGCCTAGATGGCTGTAGCACCGTTAAAATTGCTCCTGGATAGGTCAAAGTCTCTCAAGAACTTGAACGTTTTCTTAATTTCTTTTGATGACAAGAACTTTTTTTTTTGGAAGTCTTTAGACCTAGCTCCTATTGGTCTGAGCTACTTTTGAATCTTAAGAGAAGTGTTATCAGCCTTCCAATAAGAGTACATTCTACAAGACCTACTCCCACTTCTTGGACAGTAAAAAGTGAGCATCTTGTGAAGAGGTCTGCAAAAATGCAAACTGGGCAACTCTTCATTCTTTTTCGAAGTACTACAAAATGAGTATGTTTTAATATAGCCAAACAAGCAATAAAGACTGTGGAGCATACTTTCAGGACTGTATCCTACAAAGCAGGCATTCTAGAAAAAGGTAGTTAGCTGCCTGAACATGAGCTCCCAGTGCATTATTCTGGCTATAAGAGCTAATTCGATCCCCAGGTATATAAATGGGAATATCAGACTGGAGAAGGAAGGCAATATTACCTCTGTATATGGCACTGGTGAAGTCATTAGAATACTATGCCCAGTTCTGCTGTCCACACTTGAAAAGGAAGTAAAAAATATTGGAGAGTTCAGAGAAGAACTGCAAGAATTTATGGTCTGGAAAAATGCCTTACTCTGAGAAACTAAAGGACCTCCATCTATTTAGCTTGTTAAAGAGAAGGTCTAGCAGTGACTATCATTTGCCGACACAAAGAGGAGATTTGATACTAAAGGACTTTTTAACATAGAAGACAAAGGTGTGACATGACCCAATGGCTGGAAGTTTAAAATCAGCATTATTCAAACTGGAAAAAAAACAGATGCAAGTTTTTAATTGTGAGGGTGCTAAATCATTGGACAGACTACCACAAGATGTGAAATCTTCCTTCCCATGGTGTCCTGAAATCAAGACGGGTCTCTTTTTAAAAGACATTCTACTTCAACTGCAAGTTGCAGGACTAGATGCAAGAATCACTGAGTGAACTTCCTTGGCCTATGTTATGTACGAAATCATACCAGATGGTCATAATAGTCCCTTCTGCCCTTAAAAAAATCTATGAATCTGAAGGGGAGAACAGCTGTCCTCTCCTCAAATTTTATGTATTAACTCTGTTCCTTGGACATGAGATAGATTACAAATGTGTATCAAATGAGCTAGTGGACTTCCTTGACCTATGGTTATTAAAAAAAAAAAGATGATTTTGTCACATAAATTGGATTTTCATCCAAAACAAGAAGGCCCTCAGTTAAAGTCCCTTCCGTGTGATTCCCACAGCAGGGTGCAGGGAGGAGGGAAGTTTCCTTAACAACCCCAGCCCTTACCGCAATCTTTTTTTAAGCTGCAGACTATCATGGATAATTCTTTTGACAAATTCTAGTTCTCCCCCTTCAGCCATGATCTCTGTGATGCCCCCAGTGTTCACAGAGCTGGGAGGGGGCCGTCGAGGATTTCGAGAATTTACTCCCTGGACAGGAAAGAAAGTGTTTGAAGTTTAAACCATTAATGAACAGTATAATTCCTTAAACCCTGCTGTCTCCCTCACACTCTGCCATGTAGTAACACTATCAACACTGCACTCCATCCCTATATGGGGGAAATCCTAACATATTTTTAAACTTAACAATGTAACGGTTATTACTCCCTGTCTGTATCCATCTATTGTATCTGATTTTATACTTAGATTATAAGCTCTTTGGGGCTGAAATCATCTTTTTGTTCTGTGTTTGTAGGGAACTCAGCACAATGGAGTCTCGGTCCTCAACTTGAGCTCCTAGGTGGTACGGTAATCGAGCAAAATCTATATAGTCACAGCTACAGCAAAGAGTTAGCAATATATCGATGCTATACAAGAGTAACATTAAACATCTGGTTCCAAAGCACCGTAGGACATGGTCATGTCAGAAAGTTACAACCCAATGTTTAAATGTAAAATTATTTAGCTAACACCACTTCTTCCCCAGCTTTTAGAAATACAGAAGTTGTCACTATAGAGATCAAGATTCTAAGTTTCTTACTGAGTCTAGAGTCAGGGCTTGTCTATACTGGCATGCTAAATAGGTACCACTGCGACTGATGCAGCGGCGTCAATTTAGTGGGTCTGGAGAAGACACAGTAAGCAGATGGGAGAGTGCTCCCGCTGACTTTAGTACTCCACTTCCCTGAGAGGCAGAACGTAAGTTGGGGAGAGACGCTCTCCCGCCAATATAACATGGTGTAGACACCACGTTAGGTCAAGGTAAGCTACATCGCTCAGGGGGGTGATTTCTTCACTCCCCTGAGCAACGTAACTTGTATCAACTTAAGTGACAGTGCAGACCAGGCCTCAGACTGGTACCGCAATAGCGAAAATGAGTGGTATGACATCGACATACTAGCACAGGGGTGGGCAAACTTTTTGGCCAGAGGGCCACATCTGAGTATAGAAATTGTATGGCAGTCCATGAATGCTGACGAAATTGGGGGTTGGGTGCGGGAAGGGATGAGGGCTCTGGATGTGGGTGCGGGCTCTGGGGTAGGGTCAAAAATTAGGAGTTCAGGGCGAGGGAGGGGGCTCCAGGCTGGGGTGCAGGAGGGTGCTCTGGGCTGTGACCAAGGGGTTTGGAGGACAGGAGGGGGATCAGGGCTGGGGCAGGGGCACAGGAGGGTGGCAGGGGTGCAGACTCCGGGCGGTGCTTACCTCAAGCAGCTTCCGGAAGCAGCAGCAGCAGCAGGAGGTCCCCTCTCCGGCTCCTATACAGAGGAGAGGCCAGGCAACTCTGTGCACCGCCCCATCCGTAGGTGCCTCCCCTGCAGCTACTGTTGGCCACAGTTCCAGGCCAATGGGAGCTGTGAGGTTGGGGTGGGGGTGGTGTGTGGAGCCCCGGTTACTCCTATGCATAGGCACTAGAAGGGGGACATGCCGCTGCTTCTGGGAGCCACGGCACGTGCAGAACGGGGCAAGCCCCCGGCCCTGCTCCCCGGCTGGAGTACTTGAGCAGGGCAAGCCCCGGACCCAGCTCAAGGGCCGGATTAAAATGTCTGAAGGGCTGGATGCGACCCCCGGGCCGTAGTTTGCCCACCCCTGTACTAGCGTCACTGCGGCCCACCAGCTCCTTTGTTCTACCATTACAGGAGGCACACTAGCACCAGGTCCATGGTGACTGCCTACTCTGTGCTAAATCTATTGGAGAGAGACCATCTGAATACCACTAATGGAAGAACGCCACAGGTCAATTCCTACTTCAGAATTAAAAAAACAAAACTCATTTAAGTTAATCTTTTACAAATTGCTGACTTGGGTGGGTTTTTCAATGTTGCTTTTTTAAAAAATAATCAAAAATTATACAAATATACATATATGAAATGACAGCTTATAAAACTCAGAGACATGAGGTTTTTCCACAGTGAGCCTTCAAACACTTTAATCTCTTGAGGTATCATTACCCTCCCACCTGTTAAGAAGGGCAAAAGTACGTACAACAGTCAGTCAATCTAATCAACATACTGTACCTTGGCTTCCAACTGGTTGGCAAAAAAGGGAGGGTTGCACATGCAAAAATCATAAATGATCTCAGATTCCTCTTTTAGTGCATCCATTAGAAGGGTCTTCTGTGGCACTTTAACCACTAGCAGAAAAAGGAGGATATTTATTGATAAGGAATTAAAATTAACTCTAGTGTTACATAAGTATTTTTAACACTTCCTTTAGAATATAATTAACATATTATACAACCAATTTATCAACATACTACACTGCAAACCAACTTTAGGTTCATCTAACAAAAGAAAACGCACATAAACAGCTTTTCTTATAACCAATATCATAGAATTAGAAGCGTTATTTTCAGAGCAATAGCAGGTGCTCCATAGTTACAGCTGAAATTGAATTTTCATTATAAATCTTATTTTGGCCCCTCAGAAAGCCATGGAGCTGCAGCTAGCGAGAGATGTTAAGAGTAACAAGAAGGGTTTCTTCAGGTATATTGGCAACAAGAAGAAAGCCAAGGAAAGTGTGGGTCCCTTACTGAATGAGGGAGGCAACCTAGTGACAGAGGATGTGGAAAAAGCTAATGTACTCGATGCTTTTTTTGCCTCCGTCTTCACTAACAAGGTCAGCTCCCAGACTGCTGCGCTGGGCATCACAACATGGGGAGTAGATGGCCAGCCCTCTGTGGAGATAGAGGTGGTTAGGGACTATTTAGAAAAGCTGGACGTGCACAAGTCCATGGGGCCGGACTAGTTGCATCAGAGAGTGCTAAAGGAATTGGCGGCTGTGATTGCAGAGCCATTGGCCATTATCTTTGAAAACTCGTGGCGAACGGGGGAAGTCCCGGATGACTGGAAAAAGGCTAATGTAGTGCCAATCTTTAAAAAAGGGAAGGAGGAGGATCCTGGGAACTACAGGCCAGTCAGCCTTACCTCAGTCCCCGGAAAAATCATGGAGCAGGTCCTCAAAGAATCGATCCTGAAGCACTTACATGAGAGGAAAGTGATCAGGAACAGTCAGCATGGATTCACCAAGGGAAGGTCATGCCTGACTAATCTAAATCGCCTTCTATGATGAGAGGTTTCAGAGTAACAGCCGTGTTAGTCTGTATTCGCAAAAAGAAAAAGGAGTACTTGTGGCACCTTAGAGACTAACCAATTTATTTGAGCATGAGCTTTCGTGAGCTACAGCTCACTTCATCGGATGTATACCGTGGAAACTGCAGCAGACTATATACACACAGAGAATATGAAACAATACCTCCTCCCACCCCACTGTCCTGCTGGTAATAGCTTATCTAAAGTGATCATCAAGTTGGGCCATTTCCAGCACAAATCCAGGTTCTCACCCCCTCAACCACCTCCCAAAAACCACACACACAAACTCACTATTGTGTGTGGTTTTTGGGAGGGGGGTGAGAGAACCTGGATTTGTGCAGGAAATGGCCCAACTTGATTATCATGCACATTGTGTAGAGAGTTGTCACTTTGGATGGGCTATCACCAGCAGGAGAGTGAATTTGTGTGGGGGGGTGGAGGGTGAGAAAACCTGGATTTGTGCTGGAAATGGCCCAACTTGATGATCACTTTAGATAAGCTATTACCAGCAGGACAGTGGGGTGGGAGGAGGTATTGTTTCATATTCTCTGTGTGTATATAGTCTGCTGCAGTTTCCACGGTATACATCCGATGAAGTGAGCTGTAGCTCACGAAAGCTCATGCTCAAATAAACTGGTTAGTCTCTAAGGTGCCACAAGTACTCCTTTTCTTTCTATGATGAGATTACTGGTTCTGTGGATGAAGGGAAAGCAGTGGATGTATTGTTTCTTGACTTTAGCGAAGCTTTTGACACGGTCTCCCACAGTATTCTTGTCAGCAAGTTAAAGAAGTATGGGCTGGATGAATGCACTATAAGGTGGGTAGAAAATTGGCTAGATTGTCAGGCTCAACGGGTAGTGATCAATGGCTCCATGTCTAGTTGGCAGCCGGCGTCAAGTGGAGTGCCCCAGGGGTCGGTCCTGGGGCCGGTTTTGTTCAATATCTTCATAAATGATCTGGAGGATGGTGTGGATTGCACCCTCAGCAAATTTGCGGATGATACTAAACTAGAAGGAGTGGTAGATACGCTGGAGGGCAGGGATAGGATACAGAGGGACCTAGACAAATTGGAGGATTGGGCCAAAAGAAATCTGATGAGGTTCAATAAGGATAAGTGCAGCGTCCTGCACTTAGGATGGAAGAACCCAATGCATAGCTACAGACTAGGGACCGAACGGCTAGGCAGCAGTTCTGTGGAAAAGGACCTGGGGTGACAGTGGACGAGAAGCTGGATATGAGTCAGCAGCGTGCCCTTGTTGCCAAGAAGGCCAATGGCATTTTGGGATGTATAAGTAGGGGCATAGCGAGCAGATCGAGGGACGTGATCGTTCCCCTCTATTCGACATTGGTGAGGCCTCATCTGGAGTACTGTGTCCAGTTTTGGGCCCCACACTACAAGAAGGATGTGGATAAATTGGAGAGAGTCCAGCGAAGGGCAACAAAAATGATTAGGGGTCTGGAACACATGACTTATGAGGAGAGGCTGAGGGAACTGGGATTGTTTAATCTGCAGAAGAGAAGAATGAGGGGAGATTTGATAGCTGCTTTCAACTACCTGAGAGTTAGTTCTGGAGAGGATGGTTCCAGACTATTCTCAGTGGTAGAAGAGGACAGAACAAGGAGTAATGGTCTCAAGTTGCAGTGAGGGAGGTTTAGGATATTGATATTAGGAAAAACTTTTTCACTAGGAGGGTGGAGAAACACTGGAATGCGTTACCTAGGGAGGTGGTAGAATCTCCTTCCTTAGAAGTTTTTAAGGTCAGGCTTGACAAAGCCCTGGCTGGGATGATTTAATTGGGGAATGGTCCTGCTTTGAGCAGGGGGTTGGACTAGATGACCTCCTGAGGTCCCTTCCAACCCTGATATTCTATGTCTCAAAACTGATAGTCTAGGTCTGAAGCAGAGAGAGTTTTTCTAATAAATTTGAAGTCAACTATATGTGGAGTTCCAGAATTATTACACCCTAAAAATAGATCTTCACAGTTGAAGTTTTACTTTTCTTCCATTTTATTTTTAATAACGGGAAGAAGGGATAGAGAGAACTTAGTTTACCAGATTCTTCCAGATCTTAGACCCATACAAAAAGGGAAATCCATATACAAAAAGGAGGGGGCATCTGAAGGAGTGCAGGGCAGAGGCTGTACAAATTGATTTGGGGACAGCATTCCACACGTATGGGGCAGCATGAATTCTGTCATGTTCATATCAAATGTTACCTATCAGTGTTTTGTGCATGCATCTGCAACCTTAACTTCATTTCAAAGATTTCTGTATGAGATTATCATAAATATTCAGAAATCTGATTAGTCATATGCATCAAAAATCTAGAACTGTCCAGGCTGGTTTATAAGAGTGAATTGGGTTTTTTGTTAAGTTTTTGGACTAATTGTGGCTGTCTGATTTCAATGGGGATGGTCTAGCAACATGTGGTTACTCTTTGCTACACCAAAATCAGGGTAGCATATATTTGCAGGACTGTAAATCCTCATTAGCCACTGAACAAGGCAAAGATACATCATTATATCTGGTTTAAAACAGGAGAAGTGGAAACATCACAAGGGAACGAAAGCTAATGAATGATTATTATATGGTACCTTTTATAAGATCAGATAAATTATTCTGTTCCACATTTTTCTTTGCATAATTGAAGCACATATCATCCACTTCTGTTGCTAGGAAATACCAGCCATTCAAAGTAGCTCCAAGTAATGGATAGATACAAGATGCCCCTGTACCTGCAGCAAATAAAAAAAAGCCTAGATTAGCAAAAAAAAGTAAAGCGTCAGATTTAATTTAATAAATAATCACACAGTGTATGGTGTGCATTATTCTATTGTTACTCACAGCAATAAATTTCAATATTAAAAACTAATCAACATTTTACCCAACAACAAGTAGATACCCCTGTATTTTCTAATTAAAAAAACAGAACATTTTCAAAACATCAATTTATTTTGCAAAACATTTCACTTATACCAGGACTAACGTGGTAAATCAGAGACTGAATATTTTCCTTCAGCAGGTTTTTTGTTTGTTTTAAAACAGGAGTGAGTAACTAATTCAGACACTAGTGACCAAGTATATTTCTACTTATTCAGAAGACTTAGAGAAATTACAAAAATATTTATGTTCTGCATTTCTTCAATCTACACTGATTACTTCGCTTTAGTGACTGTATGACTGCACCAATTATGAGAAGAGGAACTGTTTTTCCTTCAGACTTGGTTATTTCTTAATGTTTAAAGTTTTAACTAAAAGTTGATTCCCAAGATAAACTACACAAAGAATAAAAGCCAGATACATAGTTTCTGATAGGGAAGAGAAATACGTTACACAGCACATTATGGTGACCAAAGTGACTCATCACTGTACAAGCGATGGAAACCCTACATTACTTATTACGAAGAATTACTGAAAACATGCAGAGACTAGTTTGTGGCAAAAGACTTTGACTGTGCCCTCAAACCATTGCTTAAGAGTGACCAAAACACAAGATACAAGAAAAAATGACTCTTACAGCTACCAGATTCTCATAAAGAACTGTAATTGGTAGATGTATTAAGAGAATGACACCAGAATGAGAGAGAGAGATTATACTTTTTCATCTGCTAGTAAAGTCCTACTCCAATATAGATTTTTTTTAGAAACACACAACAGTAACGTTGGAGATGCCATATTTTTTAATCACAACCTTATCTGAACAATTATCAGTAGTTTTGGGTTTCTGACATAAACAAAGCATTGAATGTTTTACAACAAGATAAAACATTTATATAGGATTATTTCCAAAACAACAACACAGGGAAAGTAACTGCAACTACTCTGGAAAGCAGGTAAGATAATACTGCAAGGTAAGTACCTCAAGAGAAGCAGCGCGGGCCAAGGGATGTGCTGGCCACCCTTCTCGCAGCCCCCATTGGCCTGGAGCGGCGAACCATGGCCAGTGGGAGACACAATCAGCCGAACTTGCAGATGCAGCAGGTAAACAACTGGTCCGACCTCCAGGGGCTTTCCCTGAACAAGCGGTGGGCCAGCTTTGAGAACCACTGGTCTAGAAGATACCATCAGAGATGCTTAGTTTTGCAGTTCTCAAACTGTGGATTTATGTCTCCAGAGAGGACATGCTTATTAACAGCAAAAATGTTTTAAAATAAATATATAGAGATGAGAAATGACAGACCTCAACCCTGTTGTCACTCTGCAAATTTGTGTATACAGAGTCAATCCCTTACCTCTCTCTAAAAGTGCAAAGTTTCAAAAAGTTCAATGATGGTTGAGGGCGAAATAGATCTGGACAAGGAGAAAAAGTCTGGAGATAAATGTGAGAAGGGAGGGACAGGCAGTAGAAACAAAAGTGAAACCGTTTGAGCAGCATATTCCAGAAGTCTTGAGGTCTTTCTGAGTGTAGCCTTCATTGATTTGAGATCTACCATGCCATTCTCTCACTAGAAGGGAAAACCTATAATGGCAGCAGGCCATAAAAGAGACCCAGTTTCGGAATATTTTAATGTACTTCCTCTACCTGTGGGTAAGACAGGCACGCATCCAAAATGCAAACAGTGCAACAAAGAAATGCAAGGCCTGGTTGCCAGAATGAATCAACACCATGAGAAGTGCTCCTTCACAGGAGGAAGCAAAGTGGAAGATGATGAAAGGAACATTTCTGAACATGCAGGATCTTCAGGTTGGTAAACTTTTTTTATTTCATACTTCTCTCTTAAGGACTGCCTGTCTTCCTTCCAGACTATTCTTGAATTCTCATGTTTGAGCAAAAAAATAGTTGTTACTTTATGGTTCTATCATTTTAGATGCAGTTGTGATAAAAAATAAATAGCTGAAATAGGCAGATCTTCCTTTTACAATTTCACCTTTAAAATAGTACTGAGTGTCAGTGAATGCAATGAGTAATACTAAATGAGCAGTATGGTATTAAATAACTGCATTGACTTATTTTGTTTAGGAGAATCCATCCTCAACATACAGGATTCTGAAGACTATCCACCTTCAAGATCACCCTCATTTTCTATAGTTTCAGAGTTATCTGCCAATGATAGTATTTCAGTCACATCATGTATGTCACATGACCACAGTATAGCACCTGTATCAAAAAGAAAAAAAACCTCCATCATCCAGAAACAACCATAGATCAGTTTGTGATAAGAACCAGCAGATTACAAAAAGAGGCAATTGATGAAAAAATTGCCCCGTTTGTTTATGCAACATACTCTCCTTTCTGTATGATTGAGAACCCACACTTCATTAACACGGTTCAGTCATGAAGGCTAGGATACAGTCCACCCTATAGAGCAGATGTCACAGGCAAATTGCTGGATAAAGTGAATGAAAGAGAAATTGAGCAGTGTGCAAAAGGTCTAGAGGGTAAAATTGTTAACCTGAGTCTTGATGGGTGAAGCAATGTTCACAATGATCCTGCCGTATGTGCTTGTGTGACAACAGAAGGGAATGTCTTCCCTACAGAAACAATTGATACATCAGGAAACGCACACGCAGTAGAATATTTACAAGTAGCAGCAAAAGCTAGAACTGTGGAAAAAAATTCAAATGTCTAGTACACAGTTTGGTCACAGACAATACTACAAATGTACCCAAGATGAGAAGAAGTTATTTAGAAGAGAGTCCCAAGCTAATAACATGCAGTTGCTCATTTGATGCATCTCCTAGCCAAAGACTTCAGTGTTCCACAAATAAAGGCTAATGTTCTTGAAATTGCAAAATGCTTCTGTAACAACCACTTTGCAGCAGCTATTCTGAAAAGTGTGGGAAGAACCAAGCTAACGCTCCCACAAGACACGGGACGGAACTCAGTAGTGGACTGTTTTGAGCAATATATCAAGAACTGGCCTAAATCTGATGACGATAGTTTGTGAATAAAATCATGAAAAAACAGATGGCACTGTCACAGCCAAAGTTCTCAACATTGGGCTTAAGAGAAATGTTGAACACATGCTGAGTACCCTGAAGCCTATTTCTGTAGCCTTGAACAAAATGCAGGGAAATAGCTGTTTTATTGCTGATGCTGTTGAAATTTGGAAGGAACTGAGTGAGATCTTAAAAAAGAGAAATATGGAATGACAGAGTTACATTACAAGCATTAAAAAAACAAATGGGACAAGCACTATCTGTGACGTTATTGACATGAACTGTGACCCTATAGATCATTGTTGCACCCAAGGTCCTATAGTTGCACCAAATCTTGTACAAAGGTGGTCAAGTAAGGTGTCTATGAAAAGGTTGTAATTTGCTGGTTATGATTATGCTGTGTGTATCATTTTTGTATCTGAAGTTATGATATTGGCTATGTACTTGTATCTCAATGTGTTTGATTCTGAAGTAGCATCAGTGAAGCATTTAGTCAGCTTCTTGAGAAAGGACTATTCTGAGGAAGTGCCCAATCAAGAAACAACTTAACTGACAATGGACCTTGGGAGACTCCAATCCACATGTGAGGAGCCTTCCTGGGAATGTTCAAGGTAGCATGTGAGTGATGGCTGCTCTATCTGTAAAGAAATGAGTCATGCATTGACATGTGACTTGCCCATGTGACTCCAAACTCCATCTTGCTGCTGTGATTTTCGACAGTAAGAACAAAGGGGTGTCCTTCTAGATGGCAGAGGATACAAAAGGCCCCGGAATCCTCTCCATTTTGTCTTCAATCCTGCTTCTGACCACTGGAGGAACTTTGCTAAAAACTGAAGCTCTGAACAAAGGACTGAATGACCCATCCAAATCTGTAGATGTACTCCAGAGACTTGATTTGAGCCTCCAGTTTATTCCACCACTGCTATAAGCCTGAACCAAGAACTTTGCAAAGGTTATATGTACTTGAATCCATTTAACCAATTTTAACTCTCATCTATATTTCTTTCTATGAATAAACCTTTAGATTTTAGATTCTAAAGGACTGGCAACAGCGTGATTTGTGGGGAAGATCTGACTTGTATATTGACCTGGGTCTGGGGCTTGGTCCTTTGGGATCGGAAGAACCTTTTTTCTTTTACTAGGGTATTGGTTTTCATAACCATTCATCCCCATAATGAATGGCATTGGTGGGATACTGGGAGTATCTGAGGGAACTGCTCGTATGACTTCCGGTTAGCCAGTGGGGTAAAACCGAAGTCCTCTCTGTTTGGCTGGTTTGGTGTGCCTTAGTAGTGAAGGACCCCCAGCCTTGGGCTGTGACAGCCCTGCTCTAAGCAATTTGTCCTGAATGGATACTCTCAGTAGTGTCCCACCAGAGACTGCTTTGTTACGCTATCTCCAGCTCATTTTCTTGCAAATATGTTGTGAAGAATAAGTATTAAAGTTATAACAACCAACAAGAATGCACTTGTATATAGAAATCCATGATTAAATAGAGTCTTCCTGACTAGTAATTTAAATCAGTTTGATTTAAACCAAATCAATGCTGACAAATACAAAATAAAGTCAATAAATTGTGGAAAAAGAAACATTAATTTAGACAAGACAACACAGTAACTAGTAAATGCCAGGAGAGCATTGAATTCACTGTTAAGAGAAAGTGAAGTGGATACTGAAATTACTAAATAGAAACCTTGAGAAAAGCATGAATTTTAGCCTTCTTTCAAAGATGAAATGCTAAGAGACAAGATATGAATCAAATAATGTTGGACAGATCCAGAGACCCCATATGCTTTTCTCAATTTGGTAATGTGCTTCCACCAGCGCAGGACTACTTTCAAAAAAAAGAATTCTTCCAAAGTATAAAGGAAAGATTTAACTAATAACAAAACCAAGAAGGAGTACAGATGCTAAACTATAACAAAATGTACCTGTCCAGACAGATTTTAAAATATTTGTATAGAACCTTTAAAAACAATAACAAGAAAATCTTTAACTGATTGGATTAAGCAGTAGATAAATCAGAGACCAAAAAGGTTTTACTGCTGGAAGACATCTGACAAATAATTTAGGGAAAGATTTTTTGTACGTTTGATCTCTGTAGATATAGAAAGTCTGAAGAGATATCAATATGCGATTTTACTAGTATTTTCCTTGACTTCTCTTTAAATCCCCTTTGTAATTTAGCACCAAAAAGGGCTCTGAATTGAAAAGTCATTTGACATTAAAGAAAGCAAATGAGACCCCCGTGAGAGGGGAGGGCTCCTGCCTCATACTGAGAAAGGGAGACAATCAATGAGTTATCTCAAGTGCCTATACACAAATGCAAGAAGCCTGGGAAACAAGCAGGGAGAACTGGAAGTCCTGGCACAGTCAAGGAATTATGATGTGATTGGAATAACAGAGACTTGGTGGGATAACTCACATGACTAGAGTACTGTCATGGATGGATATAAACTGTTCAGGAAGGACAAGCCGGGCAGAAAAGGTGGGGGAGTTGCATTGTATGTAAAGGAGCAGTATGACTGCTCAGAGCTTCAGTATGAAACTGCAGAAAAACCTGAGAGTCTCTGGATTAAGTTTAGAAGCATGAGCAAAAAGGGTGATGTCATGGTGGGAGTCTGCTATAGACCTCCAGACCAGGGGGGGATGAGGCTTTCTTCCGGCAACCAATGGAAGTTACTAGATCGCAGGCCCTGGTTCTCATGGGAGACTTCAATCACCCTGTTATCTGCTGGGAGAGCAATACAGTGGTGCACAGACAATCCAGGAAGTTTCTGGAAAGTGTAGGGGGACAATTTCCTGGTGCAAGTGCTGGAGGAACTAACTAGGGGCGGAGCTCTTCTTGACCTGCTGCTCACAAACCAGGAAGAATTAGTAGGGGAAGCAAAAGTGGATGGAAACCTAAGAGGCAGTGACCATGAGATAGTCGAGTTCAGGATCCTGACACAGGGAAGAAAGGAGAGCAACAAAATATGGACCCTGGACTTCAGAAAAGCAGACTTTGACTCTCTCAGGGAACTGATGGGCAGGATCCCCTGGGAGAACAACATGAGGTGGAAAGGAGTCCAGGAGAGCTGGCTGTATTTTAAAGAATCCTTATTGAGGTTACAGGGACAAACCATCCCGATGTGTAGAAAGAATAGTAAATATGGCAGGCGACTAGCTTGGCTTAACAGTGAAATCCTTGCTAATCTTGAACACGAAAAAGAAGCTTACAAGAAGTGGAAGATTGGACAAATGACCAGGGATGAGTATAAAAATATTGCTCGGGCATGCAGGAGTGAAATCAGAAAGCCAAATCACACCTGGAGTTGCAGCTAGCAAGAGATGTTAAGAGTAACAAGAAGGGTTTCTGCAGGTATGTTAGCAACAAGAAGAAAGTCAAGGAAAGTGTGGGCCCCTTACTGAATGAGGGAGGCAACCTAGTGACAGAGGATGTGGAAAAAGCTAATGCACTCAATGCTTTTTTTGCTTCTGTCTTCATGAACAAGGTCAGCTCCCAGACTACTGCACTGGGCAGCACAGCATGGGGAGGAGGTGGCCAGCCCTCTCTGGAGAAAGAAGTGGTTCGGGACTATTTAGAAAAGCTGGACGTGCACAAGTCCATGGGGCCAGATGCGCTGCATCCGAGAGTGCTCAAGGAGTTGGCGGATGTGATTGCAGAGCCATTGGCCATTCTCTTTGAAAACTCATGGCAATCGGGGGAAGTCCCGGACGACTGGAAAAAGGCTAATGTAGTGCCCATCTTTAAATAAGGGAAGGAGGAGGATTCTGGGAACTACAGGCCAGTCAGCCTCACCTCAGTGCCTGGAAAAATCATGGAGCAGGTCCTCAAGGAATCAATTCTGAAGCACTTACATGAGAGGAAAGTGATCAGGAACAGTCAGCATGGATTCACCAAGGGCAAGTCATGCCTGACTAATCTAATTGCCTTCTATGAAGGGATAACTGGCTCTATGGATGAGGGGAAAGCAGTGGACGTGTTGTTCCTGGACTTTAGCAAAGCTTTTGACACAGTCTCCAACAGTATTCTTGCCAGCAAGTTAAAGAAGTATGAGCTAGATGGACGATAAGGTGGACAGAAAGTTGGCTAGATTGTCGGGCTCAATGGGTAGTGATCAATGGCTCCATGTCTAGTTGGCAGCCAGTATCAAGTGGAATGCCCCAAGGGTCGGTCCTCGGGCCGGTTTTGTTCAATATCTTCATAAATGATCTGGAGAATGGTGTGGATTGCACTCTCAGCAAGTTTGCAGATGACACTAAACTGGGAGGATAGGTAGATATGCTAGAGGGTAGGGATAGGATACAGAGGGACCTAGACAAATTAGAGGATTGGGCCAAAAGAAATCTGATGAGGTTCAACAAGGACAAGTGCAGAGTCCTGCACTTAGGATGGAAGAATCCAATGCACAACTACAGACTAGGGACCGAATGGCTTGGCAGCAGTTCTGCAGAAAAGGACCGAGGGGTTACAGTGGACAAGAAGCTGGATATGAGTCAACAGTGTGCCGTTGTTTTGGGATGTTTAAGTACAGGCATTGCCAGCAGATAAAAGGGACATGATTGTTCCCCTCTATTTGACATTGGTGAGGCCTCATCTGGAGTACTGTGTCCAGTTTTGGGCCCCACAAGGATGTGGAGAAATTGGAGAGAGTCCAGCGGAGGGCAACAAAAATGATTAGCGGACTGGAAAACATGACTTAGGAGGAGAGGCTGAGGGAACTGGGATTGTTTAGTCTGCGGAAGAGAAGAATGAGGGGGGATTTGATAGCTGCTTTCAACTATCTGAAAGGGGGTTCCAAAGAGGATGGATCTTGACTGTTTTCAGTGGTAGAAGATGACAGAACAAGGAGTAATGGTCTCAAGTTGCAGTGGGGGAGGTTTAGGCTGGATATTAGGAAAAACTTTTTCACGAGGAGGGTGGTAGAACACTGGAATGCATTACCTAGGGACGTGGTGGAATCTCCTTCCTCAGAAGTTAAGGTCAGGCTTGATGAAGCCCTGGCTGGGATGATTTAATTGGGGATTGGTCCTGCTTTGAGCAGGGGGTTGGACTAGATGACCTCCTGAGGTCCCTTCCAACCCTTGTATTCTATGACTCCATGACCCAGCTACCTAAAAAAATACAAGCAGAAGTGAGAATCTGGATTCAAAAAGAGTAGATTGATCAAAAAGCAACACTAAAATTTGTTACTGTGCAACATGTAAGGAATCTGATTCACATGTGCAAAAGCACAATCAATAATAAGAGTAAAGAATAACGTACCACCCTGCACACCTCAACTCAAAGCTAGGAAGCACTGCAATCTAATGTTAAATTACTTGAATTAAAAGTTTTCATTTGATTACACTCACAAACTCAAGAGCAGATCTTTTTCCAATTTATTAACCAACAGCACAATTCAATATAATGAATAATTTAAGTTCAGGAGAGTTCAAGGATAGGAAAGGTGGAAAGTAAAAAGGTGTTGCATGTCAGAACTGAGCTGCATTTATTCACAAGTCTGTGGGAAGAAGCTTAGTCCATAAAGGAGCCAACCCCAATAAGGCTAGAGATTGGACAGCCAGTCTCTCATAAGCACAAATACTTTTGTTGTTTGGAACATGTAATTTTTATCCCCCCATATCAATGGATATAAAGCAAGATCTCTTAGTTAATGTCATTTCCAAACTCTTAAACTGAAGAACCAGACAAACCTGGTCAAACAGAAAGTTGTCTAATCCCCAATATATGATACATACCTATGTCAATTCCCCTTCTAAGAGCTTGTTTATCACCATCTTGATGGCCAATTAAATCTTCCACCCAATGGATATAGTTAAGCCTCAAGGGAACAGTAGGAATAAGCCTCTCTAATGGAATATCAATTGTAAGTCCAAAGTCTTCTTTCAAAAGGGTGCACGTCAGAGCTCTCACAGCTTCTGGATCCTTGAAATTTAGGCTGCAAGGCATAAAATGCAATTAACAGAAAAAAATCCTTGCATTATAGTTGGCACCAAGCACCAATATTTAGTTTTATGCATTACAGTAACAAGTGTCTTGTCAGCATTAATTAAAAGTATCATGAGGATAAAATCATAAACCACATATTCAAAACAAGAAATATCTCCTTAAATGGGATGGTTTTGAAGAAAACTTGTTTCTACACATAAAAACAAAATCCATCAAAAATAATTCAATTCCAGTAACAAAACTCAAGCGGACCACAGAGACTGTTTAGGCAGTATTCCTTAGCATCTGAGAAGGAAAAAGCCTTAAGTGCTGGTTCTGGGACAAACCCAACCCTCAAAACACACATCCTTTTCTGTACTAACTATTATATTATGAGGGAATTTATTTCTTCAGTTTGTATTTTGAAAAGTTAAACATCTACATAAGGCAAACACTCAAAATTGGGACATGCCAGTAAAACTGTAGCTCTGTCCCTCGTGTAGGGGTATTCTGATTAAGTCTAATCACATACTGTTTTCCCCACAGCATCCCCGGCTCATCCAGGGCTACTAAGTGTGGACGGTGTTCCGGGGATGACCGGTGGTTGGGTAGCAAGGGAGGCTAAGCCCATGTCTACACTTCAGAGCCACAGCTGCAGCAGAATGCCCTTATCGGGTCAGCAACCCCATCTGTCAGAGCTACAGCGACCTACACGCTCGCCTGTGGCTGGGGAAGGGGGGCGGGGGAGGGGGTGTTTCCCAGCGAGGGAAGGGTTGTTGCCAGGACAGCGACGCTGGAGGCGCGGGTTGGAGGGTGCGGGGGCGCCCCCGGCACGGGGACACCGGCCCACAGGCCGCCGGCGCACGGCGATGGCGGGAGAGGGAACGGGGCTCCCCGGGGCTGCCCCATGTGTCCGCGCTGACGCTCAGCTGCCGGCGCGGGGCCCTGGGCAACGGCGGCGGAAAATCCCAGCCCCCAGCGGGCCGCGGCCGCCGAGCCCCGTCAGACCTCCCCGCGCCCCCGGGGACCCACCTAGCCCGGCCGGAGAGGCTGGTCTGCACGTGCTGCCGGAAGGCCGGGTAGCGGGACGCCAGGTAGGCGAAGTCCGGCGGTTTGTCCCGGTAACGGTTTCTCGCGTGCATAGACTTATTCAGCGCCATGGCGGGAGGGGCGGGGCGGGGCGGCGCGGCGAGGCGAGGCGAGGCGAGGCGGCGGCGACTTGGGGGAGGGGGGCGTCGTCACGCGCACGAACAGGGCCGCGGCCCCGCGCGCGCGCTGCGAGAGGGGAAGCGAGCGGGCCCGCGAGCCACCGCAGCCTTCCCCCGACAGGCCTCTACTAACTGCACATGCGCCCCCGTCCCATCCTGCATTGCGGACAGCCTGCGCCAGCCATTTAGCTGCGAGCCGTTAAGCCCGTCTCCGAATCCCTCCCCCACGTCGCAGCTCCGCCCCCTGGGGCCGGCTCCTGCTGGGAGCGTGACTCCGGGCAGATGGGCGGGGGCGGGGCGCGCGCGCGACGCTAGCTGGGGGAGGAGCGGTCACCCCTCCCCCTGCCCCCGCGCCCCATGGAAGGCGGGACTCGCGCGGGGGAGGGGGGACTCTGAGGAACTTCCCCGCGGCGGGCGGGGAGCAAGGAGCAGCTGCGGGGGCTTTGGGAGGAAGTAAAACCTCCCCCTCCTGGAGCCCCCACTCCCGGCAGCCGCCGCGGGCAGAGTGATGCCCCTGCTGTTCTCGCGGCTCTGCTTGCTGGAGGCGTCAGTTTAGCTAAATTGGCCCCTCCCGCACATTCCCCCACCAGCTCCAGAGCCTGAGCATCAGGCTCTCCTTAGGCAGAGGGGGCCGCGGAGACACGCAGCGCAGGCTCGTCCCGAGGCTCACCGCCGCGATGAGAGCTAGGGCTGGGAAGCCGCTCTGCTCGGCTTTGAAACTGTCCCCACTCGGGGAAGGAGGGCGGCAGGGTGGTCGTTTTAACCTGTAAAGAGGGTTTGTAGGATTCTTAGTGGCTCTGTTGTTTGCTTTCACGTTTGTCTAAAAGGGTGGCAGAGCGGGGGTTTGTCTACGATTCCTGGTGAGATTCCAGATTGTTTTAGTCGCTAGCTCTGACCCTGAGAGGAGATGGAATCATCCACGTGTGCGATAATTGGATATTTGTCCTGCTTTGGCATCGTCATCCGGGCCATCATGGCTGTTACCGTCACCATCACATGCTGAGACCTGGTGGCTTACAGTTTTATCACCAGTTATATCTATCTCACGCTTACCTTGAATCACAAAGTCCTCTAGAGCACGGGTTCTCAACTTTTTTCTTGCTGAGGACCCCCCTCAACATGCTATAAAAATAGCAGGGCCCAGTGGCGGGGGAGGGGAACCCTTGGGCATAGGCATAGTTTTACTTCTATTTGCAGGGGCAAGAGCTGGGGGGGGCTCCAGCCAGCTCTTCACTGTGGGGTCCAGGGACGGAGTGCCACTTCCATCCCCTGACTAGCTCAGGAGGCAACCCAGCCTGTCTGGGCTGTGGGGGGATGCAACCAAAAAATATAACTCAAAGGGGGGGGACTCAGTTCAAAAAGTTTGAAAACTGCTCAGGCTGCAGGGAGTGGGTAGCTAGGGGTTACGTGCAGGCAGGGGGGTAACTAGGTACTGTGTATGGGTGCGGGGGGGGGCTCCCAGGGTTGCTCCCAGCTTCAGCCCCACACTGCTCCTGGCTGGGGGTGGAGGGGCACTGGGGCTCCCAGCTTCAGCCCCACACCTCTCCCAGCTTTGGGGGCTTGAGGGGGTGCTGGCATCGGCCCTGCGTCACTCCTAGCTGGGGTGTCCTGTGCCGCTCCCAGCTGGGGTGGAGGGGCCGCTGGCTTTAGCTCCATGCCACTCCAGGCTGGGGTGAGGGGGTCACCACCTTTAGCCCCGTGCCGCTCCTAGCTTTGGGGCAGGGGGGGCCACCGCCTTTAGCACTCGGGCTTGGGGCCAGCTGCTGGGCTCCGCAGACCCCTGTATGAGAACCGCTGCTCTAGGGACATGGCTGTTGATTTTTCATGGAAGGCACTGAGATACAGTGATGGGCACCACTATAAAACTCTAAGATTGAACCCACTGATGACGTGAGCATCTTTGGGGCAAGGACCACTTTTTGTGGTGCTAGGCACTGTGCACATACAATGGGGCCCCAATCCTGAGTTTGATTGCTAGACTCTACCACAGTACAAAAAATCACCACTACTAAGCCTTCTTGTTCCCAATCCTGGGGTGAGGGAAGTAGACAGTATCAACTATGTGCTGAGTAACCCCTGAGATATAACTGCCAGAAAGACTAAACCGTTAAACTTATGAACAGAGTGAATTTAAACATGAGGTTAAATACAAAACAATTAAAAATAATTAAGAGACAGAAAAAACACCTAGTATTGCATATTCTTCCTTCTCTTTTGTCAATTTAGAGCAATGGCCTTATTTTTCAGGCCAGGGCCCGATTGTGCTAAAGTGCTGAAAGCAGAGATGGCAAGTGACAGTGTCTGTCCCAAAAAATTTATAAATTTAAAGCAACAAGACACAATAAGTGGATGAGACAAGTGGGCAAGAGTAGAATGAAATGAAACAAACAAAAGGATATGCACTATTCTTAGCCAATCAGAAATGTGATCACAATTTGCCACTTGTCCAGCCATTATCTGACTGTACTTTCCTGCAAACAATACAGAAGAGATGAGTTCTGAAGAGATGAATTCTGATGGATTCTGACTGAGCACATTTCCCACTTCCCACATAAGTGCATATCAGAGTAGAGAACTGAATTTTGGGGGCTGTCATCACTGGTAGAGGTAAGACAGACATGAACCTTACTGTAAGATATAAGGTCAGATAGGTAGGGAAGAGTTAGACTGTGAAGGGCTTTGAGAGTACAGACCAGACGTTTGAGTCTGATACAGTGGAATAAGGGAAGCACTCAAAATTAGGAAATGCCAGTGCAACTGTAGCTTTGTCCCCAGCATATGTATATTTTGATTAAATCCATTATTCCTTTAAGGCAGGGGTGGGCAAACATTTTGGCCCAAGGGCCACATCTGGGTATGGAAATTGTATGGCAGGCCATGACTGCTCATGAAATTGGGGTTGGGGTGTGGGCTCCAGCTGGGGGTGCGGGTTCTGGGGTGGGGCCAGAAATGAAGAGTTCAGGGTGTAGGAGGGGGCTCCGGCTGGGGGATGCAGGCTCTGGGATGGGGCTGGGATGTGGGGTTGGGGGTGCAGGAGAGTGCTCCAGGCTGGGACTGAGGGGTTTGGAGGGCAGGACGGGGATCAGGGCTGGGGCGCAGGAGGGGGTCGGGGTGCAGGCTTTGGGTGGCACTTACCTCAATCAGCTCCCAGAAGCAGCAGCATGTCCCCCCTCCGGCTCCTACGTGGAGGTGTGGCTCTGTGTGCTGCCCTGTCCACAGGCACCACCCCTGCAGCTCCCATTGGCCATGGTTCCTGACCAATGGATGCTGTGGGGGTGACACTAGGGGTGAGGGCAGCGTGCTGAACCCCCTTGCTGCCCCTACGTGTAGGAGCTGGAGGGAGGACATGCCACTGCTTCCGGGAGCCACAGCACACGCAAAGCGGGGCAAGCCCCTGACGCCACTGAAGGGCTGGATGCGGCTCCCGAGCCATAGTTTGCCCACCCCTGCTTTAAGGGAATAATATACAATCCTATTACCTTAAATAGTTATTCAGACACTTCACTTTAAACAGATTGGATTAGATAAAATAGTAAAACAAATTTATTAATTACAAAGAGATAGATTTTAAGTGAGCATAAATAATGAGGCATAAAAGTCAGAAATGGTTACAAGAAAAATAAAGATAAAATGCCTACTAATATCTACTTAAGAAACCAATTTAGTTGCAAAACAAACTTTCTCACCACATGCTCCAGCAAATTATTAACCAAATTTTCAGGTCAGAACCCTGCCCTCAGTGTCCAATAGCTGTTTTATCTGCTCAGGTGCAGAGGATGAGGTGGACAGGAGGAGAGAGAGGGGTGCCTTAGGGTGTTTCTCCCCTCTTTTTGTAGTTTTAGTCCCCTTCTTGAAAAACATTTCCAGCTGAGACCCAGGAGACAAAGAGTCCATGTGGAAGGATATTCTCTGATGTTTTTTTTTCACCTGTTTGAACTTCCTTTGTTTTCCCTCCTGCTTGATGACTCTGTTTACTGCTTAAATACAAATTAAAGCAGGCACACATTCATTTGTTTAGGATAGACCTGTTTGCTGACTTCTACTTGGGCAGGGCTGTGGTGTTTGGAACAGGTATTAATGTCGTACAGAAAAATCGTATAACTTCACATATGTTTTCACACATATTTTATCAGAATGATACTGAGCAGCAAATTATGAGTTTTCATAGATTCATAGATTCATAGATATTAAGGCCAGAAGGGACCATTATGATCATCTAGTCTGACCTCCTGCACAATGCAGGCCACAGAATTTCACCCACCACTCCTAAAAAAGACCTCACACCTATATCTGTGCTATTGAAGTCCTCAAATTGTAGTTTGAAGACCTCAAGGAGCAGAGAATCCTCCAGCAAGTGACCCGTGCCCCATGCTACAGAGGAAGGCGAAAAAGTTTTCAAATGATAACTTACAAGGCATACCTTGTACAAAGATTATTACAATAGGGTGTAGGGTGTGAATACAGAGGTGTGTTCTGTCACACCCTCTTTCTCAGAGCCTAGCTACAACTTGGACTTCTTGAGATACAGAAGAATTGGCGATGATTAGAAGATGGTGGTCTTTCTGCCTCAGCCTAAAGGAGGGTTGGTATCAATTTACAGTCACATACCCCCTACAGTAAGTGCTCTAAAAACTTTTTGTGACCGCTGTGTTGCTTCTTAGGGCACCCAGAACTGTGGGTCACCTTGTCACCACCTGCCTCCAGTATGAGGGGGCCTTGCTTGTGCTGGCTGGGTGTTGGTTCCCTAACACAATCAGCCTGTCAGCAACTCAAGCTCTATCCTCTGAGCTACACCAGCTCTGTCTTTGCCTTGTAGGTTGACAACAGATTCCCCCCCAGACCATGAGCCCATTCAGTGTCCCCCTATGTTATCCAGCCGCTGATCACTGGATATCCACAGAAATCTCAGATCCTCTGTTTCCAAAGGAACAATGTACCCCAGTTTCACCTTACACCTTTGCTCCTGTACTATGCATGGAACTTGAGTTCAGTTATTTAAAAAAAAAAAAAAAAAAAAGAATAGAGATTAAATTAAAAAGCTGTGTAAGAGATGGGAACATATGGTTACATATAAAACAACATCATAACATGCCTTCTAAAGCTTAACCTTAACTAACAAGTTATCTTCCTATTTTAAGAAGTTTATCCCACCCAAAGTTCTTCAGTGTTTCCAACCAAGCCTG